CTACCACAGACCCATCTTAAGCGTAACTAATTCAAGTTAAATAAGCAAAGTCTTAATCAAACTTTACTCAATTGTAAGGCATGTATAAAGGAAATATTTAGAATAAAGCCAATATATAAACTTCCTTTCCGTATAGACGTATTTACGTCAAATTATCCGGAACCGTCGTTCCACTGACAACTTTTTATTCAAATGACTTCTGTTTGTTTACGTCATCATTTATAATAAAATAATTCCGTTAAACAGTGTGGGATTCGAATTTATAAAGCAACAAAACATGTTAGTAGCCTAAATTCTTGATGAAACTGTTTAAACCCTTGAAAACCTGGTGGTAAGTATATATACCACTTGCCTTCTTTAACAGTCAGTAGCTTTTCATTGTGCATTTATCGGATTCGTTAAGGTTAAGAGTGATAATTTCCTTTAAACGCATTAACCTTTTATCCTTGTAATGGTGACGTGTAGTGTTCTCTGTGCGGTACGGACTGAATTTTTCAAATGATATTTAGACGAACTTCGGCATCAAATGGGGCCTCTGTTACGAAAGATAATTCTATCACTTTAGATTTCTCGATCCATGAACTTTGTTAGAGATTTTGAGGGAGCTGCAAAGAATTTGTTTTATTTTTATTAATGATCTGCGTGCTATATAATTGTCTGAATAAACTGAAATGCACTCCATTCTGTAACAAAATTAATTAAGAAAAGTCTCGGCCATATTATTTAAATTTTTTTGTGAGAACTGAAAAATTGTGGAATACGTTCTTTTTAGTGACGGTGCATATGAAATGTTCCGAGACTAGTTGATACCTGAGTATCCCGTATTAGCACACAGACGCATGAGAGCTTGTTTACATGTCGGCATGCTGTAAATTTGTTTTACAACTGATAACAGCTACCAGAAAACAGCTTCAAGGATGTAATTAACCAGGTATCTCTGGCTAGAATGCTCATAGCCGGCATTTTTCAAATCAAAACATTATAATCGAGATCCTTAACGTATTATAATAAGAATTCGTAAAGTTTAATTCGCCGTCACGTGGTTGATATATGAAGGAAAGGGGAAAAATCCGATAATTTCATAAACAATGCCTAGTCAAAACCCACTCAGGGGCCCACCCGGCATGCTTCACCTCCATCTAGTTTCGATTTCAAGAACTTTAAGTAGCTGCACCCTCTATTCCAGTGGTATTCAACCTGGGGTACGCGAAGACATCTTAGGGGGTACGTGAAATTTAAAAAAAAAACATTATTTTATGATAAACACTGAATAATCAGTAATGCAATTTATTTAATTTATTTTAGATGTAGATTATATACTACGTATAACTTGAATTATACACCAACAACTTTGGGGGTACAAAGTTGGAAGAGAAATTATATCTGGGGGTACGCGAACAAAAAAGGTTGAATACCACTGCTCTATACTACGATACGTCTTCATGGTGTTGTCACCTGTAGCAAAGAAGGGCCCAAGTATATGTTTTAGTTGTAATTAATTGATTTTATGTGAAATATGTAAAGAAGAGAATTTTTTAAAACTATTTTCCCACGTCTTTATCTGCTCAAATAAATGCATGATTGTTTTAATCTAAATCACAGTTTTATTCTTCAGGATTTTGGGATATTAGTACGAGACATCTTATCATTACCTTGAGACTTTCATCGTTGTGAGAGCAGGAGACCTCATCTACCTGTGTTGCGTGTATCAAAGAGTATGATAATGACTATTTCGTATGTCCCGCTACAGTGGCGCCACCGTCTTCACGCACAGCGACTGGTCCAATTCAGTTCGTTGTAATGCTTGTTTCGAGGCGAAGGCAGGTCTGTGTGTTCGCTGCTATAGTCTTGTCCGCCACCGCGTTCTGGACCAGTTTCTTCCTACCGTCTGCGCCACGAGGATGGGTGCGTGAATTCGAGGTACATGGATCTCCCGATTTCTACGGCCTACTGCTAGAAAGATCTACGGCAAATTGCTCCAGCGAAAATTCCCTCAAGGTACAGTAAACGCGGTGGTCTCCAAAGCTTTCCTGAATCACGTACCGGTAAATAGCGAATGGATTTCCCAAGCACCGATACACCATCTGTCACACTAACTAACTAACTAACTAGATGGCTTAGGGAACCCTAAGGTTCATCACTGAACTAACCAAAGCCCTCCATATGTTCTGGGCCAACAAAAACCAATCGCTATCCACCCCACAAGGGAAAGTTTTTCCTTTCCGCTTGGTCGCTGGGTTATAACGCGTTTTTAATTATCCTACAAAACGCTTCATGCCAATAAAAATTAAGGAAAAATAAAATTTAATAATTACTTAATTCACTTGCTCATGAAAAGCGAGAATAATACTCTACAAACGTGATTATTACCAACATGTCGAGGTTTTTTTATTTACTGACGTATTTACGAAGCGAGTTGATAATTAAGTCCACGGAAACGAGTGCCTTCCGAAAGCCGATAACTCACTGAGTTAGTCAGAAACGTCCTCGGCTTTTATTTAACTAAAAAGCTCACTACCGTGTTTACAAGAGCCCGCCACCAGGGCCAGATTAGTATTTATTAAGAACTATTACCACTTAATATGATATTTTTAGTATGATGATACTTAAATGCGTTGCTAACTTGTGTAGATTCTTATAGATTGATTTCATTAGAATATTTGTTGAAGATTCTAGACTGCAGTGTCACAAGCTACGCTGCTTATCTATGAAAGTCAAAGCAAGTTTCTGGACACCCATTTGCTGTCTAAACGATACCAACGTAAGCAGTTTAACCTTGGTCGTAGCTTTATGACTAATAAATTAAGGAACAGAGCCACACAACTGTCTGTTTACGAACCTGTACTGAAACACTTCAGTTCCGTGAGGTACTCGAGATGGGTGTACAAAGCACGGGGGGGGGATGATAAATAAACACCACTTATTTTGGCCAGAAAAATTTAAAAAAAAATCACTTCGGAAAAATGGCGTTCATGTGAATAATATATATAAAAAGTGATATTATAGAATTGTGTGTAGTGGAACGGATTCAACTGGCTCAACTTTGTGTTCAGTAGCGGGGGTGTTGTGAACACGGTAATGAAATTTGACTTGTTATCAGCTTTCAGAGAAAGGCGACGTACCATGGACTGTGTTATGAAAACGACTGAGTGCCGTTATATATAAACTATAAAATAAACTACGCGTGGATAAGAAGAGATAATGACTTGGCATGTTAAATTACGAAAGGGTGATAAATGTGTGCAAAGAGACAGTAAGAAAACAAGTGAAAGTACAAAATGTACGCTTTCTACCATTACGTTACAGTCACTTAGCAAATAAAATAATCCTAACGCTTTAAGAAACGCAAAGGTTGATTACCAAGTTAACAACTACTCAAAGCCAAAATCGTAAATGTTTTATATTTTGATAGAGATGTCAGTCCCTTCATGACCATTTCACTCTTCCTGACTCATCGCATTTTAGTTTTTCCTTCGACGCTTCTCAGACGGTGTAAACAAAACAAACTTGTCACCAGGAGTTGCATAGCTCCTGGCGCTTTAACCCCGGGTACCCACTTCGTTTCCCGGCGGTGCCCGGATTTATAACTTGTGTTGGGCGAGGCCGTGGTCTAGGCAACACGGAGTTTTGCTCCGTGGCATCCCACCAATTACTCCATTCACACACAGAAGAAGGCAATGGCAAACCACTTCTGGATCATCTGCCAAGAACGTATATGAACAGGTCCCAGTCCGAGAAAAGGATGGAAGGATCCTGTTCATATGGACCTGTCGTCAGACAGAACACTAAATAAATAATAATAACATTTTCATATTGTAGCCCCATCTACGTCCGGGTTTCCCAAGTGGTCTCTTTCTTTCAGTATTTCCAACCAAACTTTTTACATACATTTCTCATCTCCCCCATAGCATGCCTCACACCATCCTTGATTTGATAATCTTATATATATATATATATAGTGAAAAGTAAATATTATCTTATTCACAGATGGATATGCCAGCCTCTGACCGCAAAATGCTACTAGACATTGATGACTTCAGGTTCCACATGAACCAGCCATCATGCCAAGGGACACCAGTAATGGTGACTCTAGTGCATTCAGCCCCCAAAAACAGGGATAAGCGAGTGCTGATTCGCAACACGTGGGGATCCATCATTCAGGGGTCTCTACTCTTTTTGCTAGGGGAAGTCGACTCCCCACTGCTACAGGTACAGAATTTTTTTTAATAAAAAGTACGCCATTGACAGACAAAGATCAAAACAGAATTAAGACGTGCTCGCTGCCAAGAAAATTCATGCATGCGGAATAAACTTAATAAATTTAATTTATACTTCAGCATTGCAGTAAGCACCCCCACCCCTAAAAACCGTAAATTCGAAATCAAACCCAACTCTGTTATCAAGCCCTATATAAATGTTTCTGTGGGTTTTTTCCAGGTGTCCTTGGAGTCTGAGAATGACAGGTATCATGACCTCCTGCAAGGTAACTTCAGAGACGCGTACCGCAACATGACATACAAGCACGTAATGGGATTCAAGTGGGTCCTACATTCCTGTCCTGGGGTGCGCTACGTGCTCAAATCAGACGATGACACTTTTGTTAACACTCCGGTGTTGATAAGGGCATTGACGCAGGTTGTCCATTAGACTAGCAGTTGTCATTTATTTTACAATATCAATACCAAAATCGCTGAAAAATGAGATTAACTAGGAACTAAGTCATTGTGTTTCGTACTCATCTGTCACAAACTTCGTAATCGCGAGCTGGCACGAGACACATTTCAGCCATCCTCCTTTTGTAATTCATCTATCTCAAATATAGTGTCATTAGCCCTTTAGGACGCAGTGGTAAGTATATGTACCACCTGCTTCACACAGTTAATAACTCTGCGTTTTGTATGTGTGGGTTTCGGATTGTTCTCAGAATAAACAGCGATTATTTCCTTAAACAGCGTCAACCAGTTGTCATTTGTAATGGTGAAGTGTTGTGTTTTCTTCGTGGTACGGACTGAATTATTAAATAATATTTAGACGAGCTTCGGCTTCAAAGGGTTAAGCAGAACTTGTGTGTCAGCAGGGACGACCGCGTTGTGGGATGAAGAAATTGATCATGTGTCGGGTTTGGAGCGGCGTGCCAGTCAAGAGGATTGGAGATAAATGGACGGTGACGCGAGAAGAGTTTCATGATGATATATACCCAGACTACTGTTCGGGCACGGCCATTCTGTATTCCCAGGTATAGACGCGTTGAACGACGTGCAGGATTTGGTAAATCCAGAGTTGTGGACTCTGTCGAACTAACTCAGGTTAAGGTGGTGGACTGTCATGAACACGCAGATAAATCATTAGGTTCCATGTGGGATATCTGCTCGACCAGCTGAGCTAATATTAGCTTTTCAAGAAGGATTTTGCCTTATGAAATTAGATGGCTGTTATTTTAGAGTATATTTTCATTGTAATGAAAATTTCTGTTGTTCAAATGACATGAACACTTTAAATTGACACATTCTTTAGACTGATTTCAAATTCAGAATAATTTCAGATTTAAAGGGCCAGCTTTATTATGTGAGTTACGTAATTTGTAGCATAAAAAGCATTAACGCAATTTTCGCCCTTAAGTACACAGATTTTTAGTATTTGGGTTTGTCGTCGGAAACAATTTTTTTTTTTTTTTTGGAGAAATGCACAAATTTTCCTTCAGCCTTATCTCAAGATATAGGGTCCCTCAGTTACATTAAGTCTGTCTGTTGGCAGGACATGGTATACGCGCTGTACAAGAAAGCCCAGCGAACCCGATATTTCTGGGTGGATGACGTGCACGTGACTGGAACACTGGCTAAAAATTTGAACCTGACACACCAACCAGTTGTTCCTGTAACACTCGGCATAAAGGTAATGGTAAATAACACGATCAGGTGCGACTATCGACAAGTGAAGGGAGCGCCACCCTGGATTCAGTCGTTCCTCTTCAGCAGACACAATCTGTCAAACATTGACATGGGACTACTCTGGTGGTACGTGAAGAAATGTGCTTCCATCATAACCGAGTGATCTGGAGGAGCTCGTGCAGTGGCGGATGAAAGTGCCGAAGGTAGAAACGTATTTGTGAAAGAAAGTGCCAAAGATTTGATGGTAGTTACGGACAAGGATTCCCAAGATTGTAGCATAACTGTTGTGGGAAGAGTTTAAGAACGGCCCATAACCTTCGATGAAAACGCCAAAGAAACAATGTTCCAAACATTGGCTCACGGCTGTGGAATAATGGATCAGGTATTGGAAGAGCCAATGGTAAAGATTATTACGTAATTTTACATCACCAAACTGGTGATTCGGGGCCAAAACTGTATATTTCCTTAGAGTTACCAATTTTAATACAATCTGTCGCTCAAAGAGAAAACAAAATGACAATCTCACTGCTCACGAGTCAGAATATTCAATTATTTTCTACGCCACGGAGGCGAGAGACATCTTTTGACAGGGGTGTTCACTGGCGCAGATAAAGAATGAATATTGAAAGAGACAATTAGATACAAAGTGCTCATATCACAAAATTCTTACATTCTCGTTCTTTTAATTTTTCTTAAATCAGATTGCAGAAGAAGTGAGGTTATGTGTAATAGAAATGAAATGTTCTGAAGGCAAAAATGTCAGGTCTGTTTCAAAGTCATGCCGGATTAAAGCGCAAATTTTTGAATGAGATGAAGATAGTTCTAATACTGAAACTGATAAATTTAACTAACCTTAACTTATTAACGGCGACAGAATTGAGCTTTAATCGACAGCTAGTAGAGAACACAATACATATCAAATAATTTCATAGAATTAATATATTTATGAACAGTTCCATGTTATTATTATTCGAAACAATATTGTGACACGCTAAAGGAATTCTGCCAACATCACAAACTACGTAACGTAACACGTGATACGAAGTTATGAATTCGAGAATATTTAAAACATTATTTGGTAATAACGATAAAAAAATAAAAGTAATATTAGTGATAAAATTAGGAAAGGAAAACATTTGGAAAATTAGTTCTGCTCTGAAACTGATTTTGTTTCCCGAAACACCAAAGTTGTAGATAAACACAAACAAAACGATACATTTTGCATTTATTTATGTTGTTGTGAAATGAAATCTTTTACATGAGGAAAGCACATTGTGTTAACCTGCTCATGTTATTATATGGACTTAACAAGGGTAAAGTAACGCAACACACTTAGAAAAGACTTGCACAAAATTCTCACAGCGGCTTCTTGAAGACCAATACAAAAAATGGGAGTTCAACATTTATATGGATGGTAGGGAAGTTGTTTGCGACAGAATTAGCTCAGGACTGAATCTAATAAAGGCTTTGATATTAGCAGCTTTTTAACCTTCAAATTCCGGTACTGGAGAGTTAGTTTAGTTAATTAAATGTGTACAGCGCAACTCAGAACGAGTACTATGAGACAGAAATTCTTACATTCTTATTATTGATACTTAATTATGTATAATGAATATCAGCCATGTCACATGGTTGAATGGAGAGAAAACCAATGTTTTGAAGGTACTTAAGTTCAGTACCCTGAGGACGAGGATGGTTTTCGAAACCTTGGCATCTTCTCCATTCAGCCTGAGAATAATTCATTTTACTTAGTTGTGTGATGAAAGCTTATTTTCAACCTACAATATTAGAAGAATAAAAGTTACTAGAATTTTGAAAAGACATCCTGTGTGTTACGTTCGTGCTATAAATCTATATGTATTTACAATTATAATAAAATCTTATCCAGGACACAACATTATTTCTGTGTCCCTCCTGCATTTTTACAGGTGAATCTGGCTACAGACTGGACATGCCACTAACCACTCACCCCATCTAGTGCCAAGGTTAAGAATTAGTTGAAGTTATACTGCCTCTCCCCTAAAGCACCTGCATGGCACGTAGTGGAACAGCTTTACTTTTTACTGTAAATTCACATGATTACACATGACTAATTATTTCTTTTAAATGATAGGGTGCATCGTGATGATCTCATTATGGACAAATGCAGCATTTGAACGGAACTATTACATATCTAAAATCTGACGGTAATCTTCCTTTCACTTCTAACTCCTCATAGCACGGTTTATCTTGAAAATGTGGTTTATTTAATGATGCAGTCAGTATCTCCGACTATACAAAGTGATAAGATGATTAATGAATAATGAACTGGAAAGGATAAGGGAGGAAGCTGTAATGGTCTAATTTAAGGTTATGTCCCAGCATTTACATGGAGGGATCTGAGAATAACCATGGAAGAAGAAAAAATGGCAGACATTTGAACCAAGGACCTCGTAAATATGAAACAGGAGTGATAACCACTTGGTCATGACTCAGTCTAGACAGCTGATGAATCTGTCACTTAAAACTTACTCATTCCTAAAATAATGTTAATCTGTTAACATTTTTTTCCTCTAAATTGCAATACAAACTACAAATTATTACTTCATATAAGTAAATGACTTAGTGTAACATTCTATATTAAGATACTTATTGTGGAGCCATGACAGAAAGTTGAGAAGCGATAGGTTAAGAGATAAAGTTTTTAAAAAAGAAAACTTCACAGGGAAAAGTAACAAAATAAGTCTTCTTTGTACTCACCACAAGAACCTCACATCATAGTTTAAAAATCAACAGACCACAGAAGAAATAATATTTTATTTATTCACAATTATAAAATATATAAACATGTCCAAAAGTATAAGAGGACCCTGAAATATGTCATCAAGTTTTCAATTCCATAAATACAGTATTTTCCTTTGTAACAATGGCAAAATTTATAACTGCCTTCATAAAATATATAAATAAATATATTTTCATTATGCTTCTATAATTATGTATACAGACTAAATCTAGCGAACAAAAACAGCAAAGTTGCAAGGACGTGCAGTTCTGACTGCGGCCGGTTAGCACCAACGTAAAGAATTTGCAGGGTTACTAATTTGGTTGAGCAAATGTTAGACCATTTCCTCCCCCTGCCCTGTAACTATATGCAATAGTTTAAACCTTTTAAGCTCAGTGGTAACTACGTGTACTGTCAGCGTAAACAATGCATTTATGAGTATTCTACGATTCTCAGAGTAAACAGCAAATATATATCCCAAAAGAGGGTTGTCCAGCTACCTTTTGGCATCGAGACAGGTTGTGTTTTCTTTGCAGCAAGAACATAACCTTAAAATATTATTTAGATAAACTTTGTGCTTCAAAAAGTCAATAAAACGAATCATGTAAGTAATGAATACTTACAATAATTATATCAGAATAAAACTCTATGCTATAAACCCATCTACAACAAAGAAAAATGTTTTGATACTGGTGTTATAATCTATTTGCAGAAGCTATACACTATGTAAAAACAAACCTAACCAAAAAATTAAAGGGGCATAAAAGTAACACATTTCTTATTGTGTCTCTCAATTTAATACCAAATTTACATTCATATGGTTTCACAGTTTCTGGTGATCAAATTATTATGATGCAAGAATTACTTCTGTAGTGGAGAAAATGTTATTACTTAATTCCATAGGATTGAGTGACAGCAGTATGAAGATCGGATACAGAGCACAGTAAATGCTGTTACCAACAAATAGGTTAGGTTTATATCAGAGCTTTTGTTTCAAATGGAGTAAACACAAATAGGTTAGGTTAACTACAAACAGATTTTATTTCTATAAATTTAGATGCTCATACCCAAATGTGACAAGGGGAAGGGGGGAAATATTTGTACTTCTTTACAAAAGAATTAACTAACACATTTAAATTGTGATCTTCTGGGCTGTGAAACTATGTAGTCGTGTATGACGTTACCTACATTTTTAAGGAAACTGCTGTATCCATCTTAAGGTAGAAGACAATGGAGCTGGAGTGTTATGAACATTTGTCATCCATAAATACTGAACATTATGACAAACACCATTTTTCAATAACTTTTATCTACAGATTTTAAATGAAGCTTTACAGGAAAACTCTTTAGACCTGAAAAGCCTCCAAGTTGACACCAGTAGTCGGCACACACTAATATACCTGATACGATATTGTGGCGTGAAAATAATTCAATGGGGCATGATTCTGCATTGAATAAAAGACCTAAATTAAACTAATTATATAACGCTATGTCACAGACGACTAAGACCAAATAAGAATTAAGAATTAATGGGAGATGGGATACCATCGAGACTTGTAAAGCAGAAGTTTCAAATGGACCAAACTAAGCCAAAGGCACTAAGTATTAAAATTTGTGGACAATAATGCCACTTTCTGGTGAAGTGACTGGCCAACACTTGAGCTACGCACTTCTGTCTCTGTCCAGAAACACTAACACAAGACTCAAAGACCCACCGGATAAAGGAAAGTACAAATTTTGTTTTGAAAATTAACCCTAATAATTGTGACATCAATTACGTTTTTCTTACCTTGCATAATTCATTCATAATGAGGTTAATTTATAGCAGATAAAAATGCATTCACCAAGTTAAAAAACATTTCTTCTTATGATCTATCAATATTCACCACATCATAAGACGTTTCGATTTAAAAAATGTGAAGATATTAATTATAATATCTGAATTTTATGCCATTCTACAATGAGCGACTTTTTACAAAATTGATATTATGATTTGCCCCACTTAATGGTACCTGCGCCTTGTCGTGGTGGTGGGGCTTGAGTACCTCAGTGACCCCAAGAGCTATGCTGGCAGTAGCATAGCTACTGGTAGGGCCTCCCTAGCCAGATTGGTCGAGGGGGAGAGGTCAGACTAAGACAGGTACCCTGGTCCTCCAGGTTGGGGGTTGGTCACAAGGCTAACAACCTTGCACCATAAAAAGGAAGATGTTTCGAAACCTCGATCAAAGCCTCGGACAGACGGACCTAACAGAGGACCGAATGGTAGAGGAGAACTGAGGAGGCCATGGACCGAATACAGACTGGAGAACCATAGAAGAAGAATATATTATGATTTGATGCTATATGCTGCCATGGGTAATAAGAATAACAATAATATAATCAAGAATTAATAATAATCTGATGAATTTACACTGCAGCAAGAGGTTTACAGTATAAAAGTTTAAGGACACGAGCAGGTATTTCGATCAGGAACACAAATTTTCATGGGGAATTTAAGGCACACCTTCAAATGGCAGTATGCAGCTGTCACGAAACTATTCTCTGGTAAGTCTCTTCAAAGGCAGAAAAATTGTTATACATCAGAGAAAGTGTCACAATTCACTTACTTCCTTTCCTAAACTTGCCTATCTGATGAACCACATACTACAGACAAAAATTTACAAGAAAACAAGTTAGATAGAAGTCATCCTCAGATATGGTCGGTTAATGATACAATAGTCGCGTCCACATACAAATATATCACAGCTAAGATGGTGAACTCAAGTCGCAAAACATTTAATTAAAAATTACAACGCTCTAATTTCTCGTCATGTTGTTGAAGTAATAAAACCCGCGTAAAACATTACCATGAACGGTGCTGTTTTTTTTGGCAGCACTGGCACGCAGTACCGACACCTTTTGCTCAAAATACAGGATATTTGTTAAAATATTATTAAACTGTCAACATGCCACCACCTTACACAGATTATGCCAAAACCTGACTTTATAGGATTTCTCTGATCCGAGAAAAGGTAATCAAAACCACCACAGAATTACTCCTAATACATGGAAATACAGAAATGATAAACACGGAACAGAAGACTGCATGCGTGAAAATTTGTTAACTGTTCACATAACTTTGTTGCATTCTGCATTCACAAAAAAGAAAAACATCTAAGAAAGAACATTCCTGTCAAAAATGGGAAATGACCGGGTGCAGCTGCTGTTGAAAAAGAATCAAACATAACAACAAACAGCAAATGTGTAACACTACTGTACATACTGTCACAAAAACTCGATAGTGGCTTATAGTTACATCACCGAACAAATGTTTAGAACAGATCTCTTACACCAAATTTCTTTCTAACCCATCAAGTTGTTTTAAATATGAAACATACAAATATATGGATATAACCTCACTACAAGGGGTTCATTTATGATTAAAAACCTACATCCTTGAAAAAATACCAGATGATAAATAATTCCAACACGCACCCTGCGCGAAAATTTACAACAGAAACTACAGTGGAAGAACAGATTAATGAGCTACCTCTGAAATACCATGAGCTAAGACAGTTCAAGGTCACTGAGAGAGACCAAAAATCTTGAGCGCATTGAAGGCCGTTGCAAGGGCCACCTCCTCAACAGGTTTCTTCATAAATGCAGCTATCATTTCTACAATGGCAGGTAGTGAACATGGCTCATTGCGCTGGAAGGTACAGTATCGCTGTAGGAAGGTTAAAGACCTTGAACAACAGAAAGTTACAAAAATTTGAAAACAATTCACTTTAGAACCAGGACAAAAACATGAGAGTGCACAGACACGAACCGCATACCTCTCAGTCAGAGCCTCCTTGACGTGCGCTGGCAGCTTCGAAGCGCGAGTGTTGGGATACATAAATGGTGAATCTGTCTCCACCAACAATCTGTCCAGGGGAATGAGTCCGTCTTCCAGTATCTTACGGACCCCGTTGTCGGATTTATCTTTGCAAAGATAACCTGCAAAAGGAGGTTCACAGACATCAATATCACATCTGCCACAAGATTTTCATCTATGAAAGCAGTTTTTAAATGTCACAACTGATATGAAAATGGCTGTCTTCTGGGTTGTTGTGCCGCATAGTCTGGTAGACGTTCCTGGTACCAACTTCTACCAGACTTCTTCTTCTTCTATGGCTCTCTGGTCCGTATTCGGTCCATGGCCTCCTCAATTCTCCTCTTCCATTCGGTCCTCTGTTAGGTCCGTCTGTCAGAGGCTTTGATCGAGGTCTTGAAACATCTTCCTTTTTACGGTGCAAGGTTGTTAGCCTTGCGACCAACCCCCAACCTGGAGGACCAGGGTACTTGTCTTAGTCTGACCTCTCCCTCTCGATCAATCTTTCTAGGGAGGCCCTACCAGTAGCTATGTTACAACCACTGAGGTACTCAAGCCCCACCATCACGACAAGGTGCAGGTGCCATTAAGTGGCGTCTACCAGACTACATGGCGCAACAACCCAGAAGACAGCCATCTCCAGACTCACTGCCATGAAAACCTCAAATCCTACACAACTGATATGTTTTATGAAGTCAGATGAAAGACGTACATGGAGGCGTAGAGAACGAGGCCTTTGGGCATAATCCCCGACAATTACAGTGATCAAAACCAAGACTAATCAGGCATGCAAAATATCAAATCAATGTACGTCAAGCAAAGTACACACCTGTCATACCCAGATACATTCCCATCTGCAGATAGGTATGAGCCTGTTCTGATGTTCCAGTAAAGCAGTGAATAACCATCGCAGGCAACCGGTCCTTATAAATCTTTAGGATATCCAGTAAATCCTGGTGAGCATCTCGTTCATGCAGGAATAGGGGCTTCCCAAGCTCACACGCCAACTGTACCTGAGATCATTTGGTCAACAAGCCTGTTATTTAAAGATGCTGATGTTCAGAAGTTACTACCAGAATAAAATCTAGAACAATGCGATGCTACTGAACCATTAATAAAATACACCACAGAGTAAGATCAAGAACTGATTTAATTCCTAGATTACTTAATGATGCCTTTTTAAGTGCAGAAGTTGGTGTTGAAGTAACGCTCAATACCTGCTTTTCAAAAACTTCCTTCTGAATATCAACTGGTGAGAAATCACGATTATAATCCAAGCCACATTCGCCTACAGCCACACACTCGGGGCTCCTGGCCATCTCTCGTAGTTCTTCGAGGTAACCGTCCATCCATGACTTTGCATCATGGGGATGGATTCCTGCATAAAGCAATGCACATTTGAAGACGGTCAAGTGGTAACTTGAAAGAACTACCTGTGAATTTTGACACATAAACCGAGGGAACTAAGATAAAATTTCACTGCAACCAATTAATGTATCACGTGATATATAATAATAGATGCAGAAATGAAGCCAAGGGGCACAGCCACATTTAATTACTTAGTATTTCCAGACTATACTACCTGCAGTTGAATATAATGTTCCTGGATATATTCTAGTTAGTCGGAGGGCCTCTCTACTTGTACGGAGGGATGCTCCCGTCACCATGATCTTCTGGACACCTATTGGTCATGCGAAACAGCTTACATTCACACAAACAAAACATTACAATGCAAGTGACAAATTCTAAATTAAAAATGGACATAACTGACACAGCTCTGATTTAAAAATTAGAATATATCTGTTCAATACAGTGACCCACTGATTTTGCCATTTAGCCCATGGTATTCTGATGAAATGAAATTATTAACATACAAATATCTCTACCTGAAATAGTATAGTTGAAATAATTGTATTTGGGCATATCATTTATATTTTAATCACAAATAAAAATCCGGTGACAGGTTATATTGGATTTGGTTAATTTAATACAATTTCATTGATGTCGCATTTCTCTTGCTCCATTGTGAAGTACAAACAAAAAAATAATTTTGTGGTAAGTTCTGTGCTGAAATCATGCCCGTGTGTACCAACAGACCAAATAAAAGGTGAAAGCGAAACAACTGTAAAGTTGGAGTAACCAAAATAACAAGCCCAACAACAAAACTGTTGCAAAATTACAAAAAATGTAATGCAACAAGTTCATTCTAACTTGAACGTATACATACCAGCGTCCTTTGCTCGCTGTATAACGGAATCCAAGTCTCTACCATATTTCTTATTGGTTAGGTTTGCCCCAATATCAACTATTATATAATTTTCATAACACTGTTGCATAGACACTGATAACTTTTCTGGGGTACTTGCAGAATCAGTACCAGGTTCATTTGAGGCCATTCCGAATGCACAATATTTCCAACCGGCTTGAAAGTTAAGGTTAAAACGCTTATACCAAAAGGTTATATTTATTAGTTAATAAAATATATAAAAAAATTATTGTCATTTTCCGAAATATTTCATATTTGATGGCACACTCTAACGCGTCTTGATCTTATAAATTGCATCATTCAATCTAAACTGTACAGGATTTGACGTTTTTAATCTATACTAACCCACACGCAATTAGAACAAACTGATAAATAAAAGAATCATCAGAGCAATTCGTGAATCGACTTCAAATCGATTACGTATGGTATTGAAGTGTATCGAACGAGAAATCGAAAGATCGATCGTCAATTCTATCGAATAAATTTTCAACAGGAAGTTCCGACACATTTGGTAAACATGTATATCTTTGGAATGCATCGAATATAATCATTTCCAATAAAAACCTGTGGAATGTCCTTTAGTAGTTATAACGTATTACTGAATAACTGTCACACCACCCAAGCAAAGCAGATGGAATAACTGAAATAATGTGGACGAAACAGATGGCCACAATTAAATTGATAAAAATGTAGCCAGTCCAGAGTGGAGACAACAAGAAATTTCAATTCAAATACAATTTTACATACTTCCGCACTCACCAACATTCTATTTGCTTTAATGATGAGTTATGGCCCTTCCATGGCTGCAAAATTATATTCACAAACACTTATGGGGGACAATCAGTCTTCCAAAGGCATCTGTTATGCCGCATCGAGCATTTGAGAGGTGCCTACTGTCTTCATCGTCGGGGACCTGATGATATGGCTTGACATCAACGTCTATCTGTCGCCCATTATTACAAACAGTCTATAAATGTCTAGAAAGGAGAGGTTTTGTCATTAAAGCCGGGTGCAATGTAGTAAAATCACAATTATTTTATTAATTTTATTTTGTTCTAACTTTTCTTTTTGTGATTAATTAAAATCAACTATTTTTTACACAATTTTATGTCCATGGCATTTTGTCATATTGCTTTGGGGTATGCCAATTCTTCTTTAAACCCAAGAGGATTTTACAAACAAAAATTATTTTGCAAACATTTCGGAGTCATAATTTGAAAATGGAAGTCAATTCAACAAAACAATATTAACAAAGTGGACCTGCCGTGTATATAAACACATGCCAGCTCTCATACGAAAAATAAATTGAGGTTAGGTTAGGTTAAGCGCTCAAATTGTTATGGCATGATTTGCAACAGGAAACCTCCAGAGCACCTGAATGAGAAGGCCACTGAAGGAGAGTTCAGTTAGCAGAAAAATATTACAAAACATAATTTTAAAAAGTCTATCCTGTTTGGCCAAGGAACGATGCATTTCCCTTGAGTGCAAAATTTCGAATTACCAAGTTTACTTTCACAAATATTTGATAGGAAAATAGAAATTTAAGGCAATGTATATGATTGCAATTCACTAATATGCAAAAATTCTTTGCATTTCAGCATTTTTAAATGTTGTAGACACTGCTAAAAATAAACAATTGACTGTTTTTTTATTACAGCAGATAATTATAATGAATAATATCCATTTTATGTGTTTCAAAGACCATTTATTAGTTTAACCATGCTCGTCCCTAAATACCAACACCCAAACTTACTCATATTTATTAAAATCGGTCTGTCAGATTTTATTTTCATATTAAGTGCCAAACCAATAATTGTTCATAACGTGACCTTCACTACTTCGTTTTGCGTCCTTCCCCAGACACTTATATGACTCACGGTACCAAAGTCCACCAAATGTAACTGGGACAGATTTCTCAAGGCTATTTCCCCTTTCAGTATCATTCCACCACATCTCCACATACATCTAGGCTAAGGACAATAAACCCAAAAGCGGCTACATTTCCATACAAACACGAAAAATGCAACAAAAATAATATTAGGGCCTAAATGGATTTTAAGATGGATTTTCCTGGTCGCTCTCACACGAAAGATAAACTTCAAAGGAATGTTTCCAAAATTATTCTCAAACTTTTTCTGGCAAACCCTTAATATGAATTTCTACTCTACTTACATTTCTTTAAATAAACTGAGCGGAAAAAAGCAGTGATGATTTAACAAAACAAACATTCTTCATCAAACGCCGAACAAAAATATTAAAACTAAACTCGATACATAGATCTCTATAACAGATACAAATACTTTAAAATCCGTAAACCCAAGGCGAAAAACTGACGTCAGACGAGCACAACTCAACCAATAGGCGTTTAAGGATTGTTACAAAATAAAATTATCATGTTTGAAGTTCCATCAAAATTCGCAGATCACGAATTACAACCATTTGCAATTCAAACATTATGATAACAAAATGGCCGATTTAGTCAATGCAACAACGACCTAAGATTCGG